TCTAGAACACGGCTTCAGTCCTTTCAGCTAAGGGTTCTTACTGGAAATGTTAGTAGAGGGAGATTGTCTCTGGATTGTATCACACGCTGGAACTCTACAGATCTTATGTTGTCGGCTGCCTTGAAATTTCGAGTTGCATTTGAGAAGCTATTGGCCGAAGACATGTTGTACAATGAGTACTTCAACGAGACAAAAGAGAATGGACGTAAAAGGGTTGGGCATCAAACTTCTCACGGATGGGATGAAGTGCATAGGTTAGTTAAGTTTCTTAGACTTTTTTTCGGATGCACTTTGTCATTCTCAGCATCAAAGTCAGTGACCTCCACTAGTTGTTACAATGAAATTGTGATCATTGAGAGGAACTTGATAGCTTTGAGCAACAACAGGGATGACCTTCTACGGATTTAAGCAACAGAAATGAGGACCAAATTTGAGAAGTATTGGGACAGACTCATCAATATGAATCTGCTTGTCATCATTGCTAGTGTCTTTGATCCTAGAAACAAGATGCAGTTTGCATATATTTGTTTCGACAAGCTTTATGGTAAGGACAGTGTGGAGAGTGCTCATCTCAGTACCTCCATAAAGGCATTGATGAAACAATTGTATGAGGAGTATGTTGTGAAGCTAGGTCCACCATCTCAAGGTGATAGTGCTAGAAACATGAGTGAGAACGGGGAAACAACTGCATGCTTGTTTGAGATGTCTGATGATGAAGATGAAGAGTATGAAGGGATGGATTCTTTGTATTCTGAAATGGTTTCAGAGGATGCAAATGAAGAGGCTAGTAGCGAGTTTTACATATACTTGATGAAAAAAAAGCCTGCTCTTAGAGGTTCAAAAATGGGATTTGACTACAATGTACTATCATGGTGGAGGCGTAATTCTATCAAGTTTCCAGTATTATCAGAATTAGCAAAGGATGTGTTTGCTATTCAGGTCTCGTCTGTTGCTTCAGAGTCAGCTTTCAATACAAGTGGTCGGATTTTGGATCCTTTCCGTAGCTGCCTGACACCATATATGATTGAAGCACTTCTGTGTACACAACAGTGCTTCGAAATAGCATAAGTGCAGAAAAGCTTGCAAACCTGACTCAGATGTTTGAAGAGCTAGACTTCCATGAGTCCTTAGGTAATTGTTTGACATTTTACTCTTCAGAATTATTTCTCATGTTGTTTGTTTGGCATTTGACTGTCTTTCTCATTATACAGAGATTCTAACAATACCAGAAGAATTGAACAATTAAAGGTAAATTATATACTTTGCTGTTTTGGAGTCTTTTGTGCCTTGGTGTATGTTTTTAACCAATTTTTGCACTTTTATATTTTCCAGGTTGCAGTTCGAGACAAAGGAGATGATGGTGTTTTGTTTTTGGTCCTGCGACTTTGGATAGTTGGTGACAGATGATGGTGTTTTGTTTTTGGTCCTTCACTACTTTTTTGAACTTTCTCAATATGTTTTAGAACCATAAGTGTCTATGAATCAATGCCTCTTTGAGTGTGTGCTCATTCAAAGAGTTGCAGATTCATAATGATTGATCTTTTGTTTATGTTGATTGCGAAAGGATGAATGTTTTAAGTTTTTTTTTGCTATTTATTTATTTAATGTGCTAATTTCTGATTTTATTGAAGTTTCAGGTCAGAATGGAATAACCGAATAACCGAAATTAACCGGATATATCCGATTATATTTGGTTAATCGATTAAAAATTGAATTTCGGATATTTTCGGTTTGAAAATTAAAAACCGAAAAAACGATTTCCAAACCGAACCGAACCGAATTTATTTTCGGTTAGTTTCGAAAAAATTTCCAAATTCCAAACAAACCGAAAAATAGAATTAACCGACCCGAACCGAACCAATTATCCAAGTCGCAGGGCTACTGCCTATGTTCAATAACAAAATAAACATTACATAACATAATTAACTGTGTAATGAGTTTTGCCTATGGAACATTTTAAAACATCTTCCTTTTCAAAGATATATGATTTTAAACGCATTACAAAGGCTGAATTTAAAAAAAAAAAAACAGTAAATCAATTTTTTTGGATAACTAGGTTTTATTTGGTAAGTTTGAACCGGGATTCTTTTGACAAAATCAAATTCCAGTTTACCTTGTGTAATACACTCATTGCAAAGATAAAAATAATCTTTGACGTGTTATACAAATATGTTTCCTTTTATGTGAATATTCCTATATTTTATGCAATGAAGATGTGAAATATTTAATCTTTTATTGTACTAGGGGCATTGTCTCTGCGCTTGACGAAGTTCTTGTTCCATCTCATTCTTTTCCAAGGTAAATGTAGTTGTGAAGTTTACGTTTTGGGTTAATCATTATTTTTCAAATTTCTTTTATTGTTATAGGGTTCGAGTTGTGATGATAAACTGTGTAGGTATTGTTCTCCACTTTTGTGAAGCTATTTTAGTATTGTGATTATTATAGTTTGTGGTGTTACTTGCATTGTCATTGAGATTTATTGTTTGTTTGTCTTTTTATTTTGTTTCCTATACTATTGAGAGTACATAAATTATATTAAGGTTGTTGAGAGTACTTTTTATTTTTGAATATTTTTTCTCCAATTTAGTTGTGCAAGTTGTGTGTATTACGAAATAATTTTTATTATTATTATTACTTTTGTTATTTTTTTATTTCAAAACTTGTCGCTTTTACATGACCTTAAAAATAAATACATGAAGACTTATAGAAATAACTATAAAATGAGTGACAAATCAGAGTATTTAGATCTTAAAGGGTTCAAAACAAATTTATGAATTTCTCATAAGAAGACAATAGCATTGGCATGTTGACATTGGACATGTAAGCTATTTTCATAAGAAAAAAGGAGTGAGCAGGTGGAGATGTTGTTGCCACCTTTGTGTCTGTCGGGATTGTCTCTTGTATCTCTTGGTTTGCATGTGTTTGTTTCTCTTTTATTTGATGGGTTATTAGGTAAATAAAAATCATTATTAGTTGTATTTATCAGAGTTCGTAACTTACTTTGTTTTTTGGTTTAGATGATTTCACTGATCTTGGTTGCCGTCTTCGTCTTCTTCGTAATCATTTGAAAAAGTAAGTTTGTAAATTGTTAAATATGTGGATGTGTAGTTTGTATTTGTGTAGCTGACTCGATGTATATGTCGTTGAGTTATAGTTGAGGTAATTGGTTTAGTATATTTGTTTTGAAGTTTATTTGTAAGATTTGACAAAAAAAGAGGTGATCATTAATGATTCGTTTTTTGGGGATTTTAGTTTTTGGTGTTTTGAATGTTTGAGTCGCTGTGGTTTCTTTTAAGTTTAAAAATAAAGGTTTGTGTGAAATTAGTTTGATAAGTAAGGGCGATAAATAGACGACCACATATTTTGGGTAGGAAATATTTTTAATTATTGATGTTAGCACCATATAGACAATAATATGAAGGGAATTTTGTCTTGATGATTTCTTATGGGTCAATCAAGAGACTGAATCTGCCAGGTCACAAAGTCGTTTCTCCAGGGTGACACGTGTCCAAAAGGCTAAAGCTCTGCGTTTCATTAAGGAGAGAAATGTAATGAGCTATGAAAGGCTGAAGGCGAATTGGGCATTGTACTGTTAATTTTCTAGCCTGATGAGACACTAACCCTAATAAAATAGCAGTGGAGAAAGACTCTCATCCATCCGCGACGGCGACCTGATGCCGTTTGCAATTCTCTTCACCATCCTTTAGCGACCATGATATACTTTCAATACAATCTACACTTCTCCAAATTGGTGAATCATGTGTAAAAAGGTTTGTTTTTTTTCCTCTTGAAACCATCTTCTCATGCTGTCAAGAACACGCATCAAAATTATTTTCTGAGATATGGCTAACGCTTCAGCTTTCCTCTCCGGTTTTCAGACCGGGTCATGCTCCTCCACCGTCCAAGGTCGATTGCCTTGTTTATGGGAGGTCAGGAGCGTTTGATGCGGTGGCAAACTCATGGAAATCGATATGCTCATACTGGACTCCCAGCTTTGTTATTTGTTATCACTTGCGTTCATAATTAAAATATTTTTTCGGTCGTCTTTCCTTAACGATTCTGTCGCTTGGAATCCTTATTACCAAGTTTACTGTTCATCTTTTGTTTTATATTTTCGGACATATTTTCTTACCGCTTTCATAAGCTTTCTAAATTTTCTCTTTTGTTAGATTGAGTTCAAATTTTAGATCTCTAGATCGAATTGTTGTTAAAGTTTTGATGGTTTTGCCTAAAGTTAATACTTCATGAGCTTGAAACAGATGAGTTGTTGTTAAAGTTGATGCTTCATAATTGAGATCCTCTCTTTTTTTTTGTTAGATTGAGATCAAAGTTTTGATCTTTAGAGTGAGAAAAAATTTTGGATCTCTAGATTGAGTTGTTGTTAAAGTTTGTATCTTTAGATGAAGTTGATATTAAAGTTTTCATCTTTGAGCTTGCTCTGGATTTGTGTGAGAATTGATGCTTCATGAGTTACTCAAGAATATATCTAGGTCCTCTGTTTTTGTTAGTTTGCAATTAAAGTTTGGAACTTTAGTCGAATTGTTTGAAGTTTGGATCTCTGATGTCCTTTAGAGTTCAATGCTTCATTGGCATTACATTTGAGCTTTGTTTGGGTGATCAGATGTACAAGGTGCGGAGGAAGGTGTGTGCGACCAAGGGTGAAGAATAAGAGACGGGCAAGGAGTTCATTGATATACTCAAGATTCTTGAATCTGAACTTGGAGACAAACCTTACTTTGGTGGGGATGAGTTTGGCTATGTGGACATTGGCTTGATTGGATTTTACACATAGTTCCCTAGGTATGAGAAGTTTGGTAACTTCAGTATTGAAGCAGAGTGTCTGAAACTAATTGCATGGGCTAAGAGGTGTATGCAGAGAGAGTGTGTCGCCAAGTCCTTGCCTGGTCCTGAGAAACATATATAAGAAGCTAATTCAGAAACTTTCTATGTTTCAATAGGCGTCAAGTCTACCAAATGAACATTTAGAGAACTAGGTTACTATGCCAGAAACAAGTTCAAGAAGACGTAGAAGTACAAGAACATCTCCCTTGCAATCTCAGGTTGGTGCGCAGACAGTGGAGAAGACTACAGCTATACATTTTCTATTATTCGTTTCAAACGCATGAGCTCAAACTAATCCCTTTGATATGAGCACTTTAGGTAATGAGATAGCCCCCGAAACTCTTCAACCAGATGTTCCCAGCCATATGTAGTTGACCCCTGAAGTAACTGGTCACCAGGACAGATTCTTTGAGCCTGGCGAGATATCTATTCCAGGTATCAAAGCTGTTCAAGCCCTACTTTATCACGGGAATCAAATAGTGAAGCCTCAGCTCTTACAGCTCTGTTATCCTCACTTGAAAGTACAGTTTGGGAACAGTGACAAATTTATGGATAATGCTGGGAGGAGGAATCTGAAATTTGTAATTGATCCGTATCCAAGTCTCTGCAACGTTTTGAAAGAATGTGAAAGTTCTGCAAAGACAATATCTGTTGATTCAGGCAGTGGTTCTATATGGGAACCCAATGAGTGATCATTCTGATGAAGGGGTTTCTCAACTCTCCTACCGCAGGGACGCAATAAGTTTTGTATGTATATCCCTTTTGCTGGTTTCATTTATAAACCATGTTTGATTATTTGTTTCTAATTGTTTGTGCAGTATCCCCACAAAGTTAAGTATATAGGTAGACAGTTATGCAGCTGATATACACCAGAGAGAGTTCTCTGGAGCTAATACTACTCAGACACTCATGTACGGCAACCCAAGTGATGAGGAGCTTAAGACTCAAATCCTAATTCATGCCTCCTCTCTTTTGCTTTTACAAATAGTGTTATTTCTTGAAAGTGATGAGGTTGATCTTCATTAACGGGATTAACAATGACATGTCACGAAATACAACGTAGATAATTGAGGTGACACATGCATCATATTATTACAGCCAGATGACCAACTTTGTTTTCATAACTTGAGCAAAAATTTATCATGAGGATCTCTGATTTCTATTTCCTTATCATAATTAATAAAACTAAATCATTTTCCATTCTTCGACAATGCTGAAATCGTTAGCTCCAGCTAGAAAAATGTAAATATAGAGGGTGTCAAAATAATAAACCAACATCATACCTTAATTCACATAGTTTCACATTTCGACAAATCAACAATCTGAAAGTCCACAACAATCCTATAACAAAAATAATTGGATAATAAAAAATTTGAATACTAAAATGTTTTTCAAAATTTTGAAAATGCATAAAAACAATGAATAATTTAAACTAATTTTATACTTATTTAGCTACTTATATTTTTGTACTAGAAAATTCTATTTATGTATAAAAATAAACATATTAAATATATAATAAAAATTTAAATTTAAACAAAAACCTCGGGCGTAGCCGGGGCCAACCCTAGAATTAAATAAATGTGATAGATCGAAGATTAACTTACCTTTTCATCAAGGAAGAGAACCGTGATTCCCATAAAATCACTGTCTTTCATGAAGTTCAGTGAAGCCTAGAAGCTGGGGAGGGAAGCGATTATGCTCTGACTACTACAACCATGACATAGAGACTCAAGACTGAATGACGGATGCCGGTGATGCTGGTTTTAAGAACCAGAGAAACAGAGAGAGACATTTTCTAGAAGATGGTAGAATTGATCAGTTTTGTGGAGATGCAGATTGGGTTCATCAAATATGAGAATCATATATATATATATACAGTGAAACCTCTATAAATTAATAATGTTGGGACTACACCAAAATTTTGTTTTATTTATTAATTTAGAGAGATATTAATTTAGCGATATACTAATCGAATCAAAAACTCAGTTTGGGACTATAAAATTATATTATTTTATATAGATATTTACTGTATATTAATTTATCGAGTGTTAATTTATAGAGGTTCTACTGTATAGGGTTTATAGAGAGGCTACAAATCAGCAACATTAATGATCAAGCGATGTAAGATGGGGAGATGAATAGTTCACCGGTGAAAAAAATAGATTATGAACAGACACACAGAGCAGCTTTGTAACTTAGACATGTCTGAGATGAAATGAATCTTAACTCATGTTAAACGACGACGGTTTACAATTTGGGAAAACTAGAACTGCTATAAACTTGAGGATTTTCTTCAAGTAATGTGCTGAAATCCAATTAAAAATGAAACCCGTAATACATTTACAGGCCCAACCCTCAAAGGAAGCCAAAGAAGCAAGGGCTTCCGGCATTCATAAATATATATTAGTTTTGATCATCAATGCACAAGTTATCATTTAGTTTAGTGGTATAAATGTCAGTGTCTGTATCTTAATAACCTAGGTTTGAAGGATGAATTTGACACTTTTTATATTTTTTTAAAGTGGGATCCACATGATGCTGAGGTGGTGCGCTGAGAAGTCTTGAAACTCAACTATTATAATAAAACTAGAACCGCTATAAACTTAAGTATTTTCTTCAAGTAACGTGCTGAAGTTCATTTAAAAATGAAACCAATGATACATTTACAGGCCCGACCCTCAAAGGAAGCCAAAGAAGCAAGGGCTTTCGGCTTTCATAAATATATATTAGTTTTGACCATCAATGCACAAGTTATCTTTTAGTTTATTGGTATAAATGTCAGTGTTTGTATCTTAATAGCCTGGGTTTGAAGCATGAATTTGACACTTTTTATATTTTTTTAAAGTGGGATCCACATGATGCTGAGGTGGCGCGCTGAGAAGTTTTGAAACTCAATTATTATAATATAGAAGATTCCCAATTCATATATTCATAACTTTGCTATCAATCATATTTGAATGGATTAAAAATTTTGGTATCTAAATAACCGGAACCAAATCCAAACTGAAACTAGTTAAAATATCCCAACGGATTCAAAATTTTAGTATTTTAATAGCCGAAACCAAGCTCGAAACAAAACAGGTTAAAATATCTGAACAACTTCAAAATTTTGTTATCTAAAGAACCAGAACTGAATCCGATCGGAACCAAAATATTTTGATATTTGAATATATCCAAAAACAGTTTATATATTTGACTATATTAGTTACTTTTAGAGTTAATATCCAAAAATATTCAAAATGTACAATATATTTTGAAGTTGTCTTAAATATATGAATAATATATATAAATACTCAAAAGTAAATATCTAAAAAAGTTAAACAATACTCAAAACACCAAAAATGCATAAAAGATCTATTAATTCTCCATCCAAATATTCAAGTCAAAGCAATTTTATTTTAAGTAGGTCTTTGGCATATATTACCCAAATTTATAGGTTATATATTATTTTATATTTAGAGTTTAAGAAATTTAAGTATATGAATTGTAAAATTTTAAGATAATTTTAACGAGTTATCCAAACTCAAACTAAACTTGCAAAGATTCGGACCAACCCCGAACCAAAATTCATAAATACCCAAATGGAGCTGAAATTTTTATCCCAGAAAACCTAAAATCCGAATAGACCCAAACCGAATCCGAATAGGTACCCGAATGCCCATCCCTACACATAGATTAAGAAAACTTTTAATTGTGTATATTTTTTTTGATGAAACATTATTATCTATACACCTAACCATATTTCAACCAATGGACAAACAAATTAACATATAAAGTTAATAAATTTTTATTGAAATTATAAAATGACACTAATATCGAAACCAAAAATTTACTCTATAACGATAATTAGAATAAAACGAAAGAAGTATAGATCCATATTCCGCGCAAGCGCGCGGATCCCAACCTTGTAAATAAAATACTTGGCCGATTTAAAGCTAATTTACGGGGGGAAAATCAAATTAATAAAATATACTCAGTTATGGTTGACAAAAAAAATCATATCAAGAATGAAGAATCAACTTGTTTTTGCTAAAACGTTAAAAACTCAATCAACCCTACCTTTGGAGCTATTGAAACGTTAACGTAAGAATTAACCCAGCACATGCTTGCTCAGCTTCTGTATATCAAGGACCGGCTCTGACAATGATAATGTGGTTGTAAGTGATTTCAATGAGATATGCCCGCAGCATTTGAGGCATTTTCTGACTCCAGAGATCTTTAAGATAGCTGATCATGTCCAATGTCAAGTTCATGCATTCTGGGCTGGTGCAGTTTTCGACGTGGCATGGATTCGAGTCTCTTCCATATTCATATATCTACCAATATTTTAGTAAATGAACATTACCTCTCCCTCTCTCTCCAACAAAATATAACGACAGAGATTCAAAGTAAAAGTGCTTTGAAGACATCAATGTATGTCAGTGTGTCACGTCGATCGAACCGCTATCCAAAAATGCATGAACTTTGCAACCCAAATCCTTTAAATATTACTAAAATTGTTATTGAAACATACACACACACACGCAAAAAAACTCTTAGCAAAAACATAATTTTCAACCATTCTTTGTAAAAAGCTGTTTTAGCAAAAATAGGGTTTATAGTTAAAAAGGTTTTCAGTTTAAGCAAAAATTGGTATGTGTGTTTTCACTTAAAGAATTGTCACATATATATGACTTTTGATAAACTAAAAGATATACTCATGAATCAAATATTTTGTTGAACGTTTAATTTTTTGTTTTGGTGAAGCAGATATTTTGTTGAATTAACATATATAGATGAAAATAACCCTAGCTCTCGATTTTGTCGAACTCAATAGAATGGGCCACCATGCGACACTAACCAATAACAGGAAACAACTGTATTGATTTCCACAGAAGCAATAGCTGCTGAGAATTTTTGTTCTTATAATGTGTGTACTTAGAGAAATGTTTTAATCATTGTAGAAAAAAACGGTGTAGTTCGGTGTATCTATCTATGATGATTCCCATATGATATGTTTTGTTTTATAATATTATTATAAGCTTTTTTGGTGGGCTCCAGTGTGATGATTAGGAGCTTCTTGTTATGTTTTGATTATAAGGAACGTTAAGTTGTTACATGTGACCATTTCAAAGTGTTCTTTTTTTTTTTTTTTTAAAGACCATTTCAAAGTTGTTTAATTTAGTTTAATGCATTGGAGTGACCTTAGAAAATGTGGGGTTTAAGCGAGAATGTCATGGATTAAAATACTTAATCAGATTAGGAAGGAGTTTATGGCAGTATATATGCATTGTATCTCAAAAGAGAATAACTTACAAGAAAACAAAAGAAATGAAGTCAAAAAAAATTAGGCATACAACATATGCACTTTATGTCATTGATATTTTTTTGACTTAATTACCTATTACGTTTTGACAGAGCTGTGCGAACACTTATGACTAATATCTATACTATTAAATACATCGTTGACATCTATATCATATGACTAACATCTATATCTTATGACTAACATCTATATCTTACTCAAAAATACATTAATTACATGATGAACGTCGTTGTCTTTGTTTTTTTGGTGAACGGAAGTCATCGTCTTTTTATGCTGAAATAAGATATATACTATTAAAAATCATGGTTTATTACATGCTGAAACAATGAAAATGTCTAAATAGTTTGAAATAACCATTTATCAATTGTAAACGTATTTTATTTTTTA